TAGAACCATTATACATCCCAGCAAAACCCCCATCTCAGCGTCATAACCCCTAAGAAGCAGAAGCCGTGCCCGAATCCGTAAGAGAAGTCCCCCCCACCAAAACCCGCATCGGCACCACCTCCACCGCCCCCAGATCCCACACCCCGAGCGTCGCATACGGATCCGCCGCCACCATCGCCCACACCTCAGCCTCGCCCGCGGCCCGGCAGAGATGGACGCTGCCGATGATATTCTGCTGGCCGAGTCGGTCGTCAGGCGTGGACGTGTGGGAGGAGAGCATCGGCCCGCCGAAGGTGATGCGGTGGGCGTCGATGTGGGGGCGGTTGTGCGCGAGGTGCGAGGCGCGGTGGGCGTCGATGTGGGGGCGGTTGTGCGCGAGGTGCGAGGCGCGGTGGGCTAGGCGGGTGGGCAGGGTGGTCGGGGAGGCGTGGTCTGGGAGGAGGAGGAGGTATTCGTTTAGTTTCTTGTCGTTCTCGCTTGGGGGGTTGGGGGGTGGATTTTCTTGATTCTGATGATCGTTTGGGGAGGGTGGGTTTGGGTTGGCTGAGGGGATGGGGTTTGGGGGTGAGGTGGTGGTTGTGGTGGTTGTGGACATTGTTTTGAGGTTGGGTTGGGTTGGGTTGGTCTGGTTGCGGAGGGTGGGATGAGTGGGTTCTCTGTTTCTTGGAGGATGGAGGTTGAGGAGGGAGGTTGAGGATGTAGAGTAGAGAGAGAGGTTGTGGTTGTGGTTAGCTAAGGGTTGGTTCTCTCTTAAGAAACACAATTCTGAGCGGTGGGTTGGCGAGATACTCCGTGGGAGTTTCTCTATCATGGGCCCGGGGAAAGGCGGAGTTTCTGTTTCCCTCTGCTTCATCCTTGCATTCTTTTTGTGTCAGGGCTGGGCTCTTGGGGCTTATACGGAGATACCTTCGATTGAGCGGGTTGTTCTGTCTTCTGTCCGGGGATAGGTGGGATGGTATACTGAGTGGTTCCTTTGAAGGGTTCTGCTGGGTGGTGGTGGTGGTTATATATGGATTAGAACTAGCTTGAGACTGCTACCAGGTATACAGTAGATCAAAGACTACCGAAGCAGCAATGAACTCCACCATCCCCACCGTCGACATCGCCCCCTGGCTAAACCCGGACTCCTCCGAGTCCGCCCGCCAGCACGTCGTCGCCGCCATGCGTGACGCCTGCACCACCTACGGCTTCTTCAATCTCGTCGGCCACGGCGTCGCCCCCGCTCAGCGCCAGGAGATCCTCGACTGCGCCAAGCTCTTCTTCACCCTGCCCGAAGACGAGAAGATGAAGGTCTGGATCGGCAACTCCGTGGGTCGCTCGTTCCGGGGGTACGAGCCCCCCGGCATCCAGACGCACCAGGAGGGGTTGTTGCCGGACACCAAGGAGGTGAACTCAGCCCTTCGGCATTCAGACTGCCTCGATCCTCTTTTCCTGCTTTCCTCCTGACTATCTTGATATTGAGACTCGCTGAAAGACGCTAGTGCTTCATCATCGGCCACGAAGTCCCCGCCACCGACCCAGAAAGCGGCACCTTCTCCACCGGCCCCAACCTCTGGCCCGCCGCTCTCCCACCCCAAACATTCCAGGATCCCATCCTGCGATACCAAGCCACAATGGTGACCCTCGTGCAGACCCTCCTCCGCATCCTGGCGCGCGGGATACCCGCCGAATGGCACTGCGCCCCGGACGCACTGGACGCATTAGCTCAAAACCGGCCGTCGATTCCCATGCGGCTGCTGCATTATGCGCCGCAGGCTGTGCAGTCCGACCGGCAGTTCGGAGGTACTGTACACCCCTCACCCCACCACTCCAATCTAAATCCTAGAATATAAGTATCTGGGGGAGAACCCCCAGACCCCCCTTTTCTTTCAGCTTCCCAGCAACCTCAGCCCTAAGACCAAGAATTCAAGTACCTGGTGGAGAACCCCCAGACCCCCCTTTCGCAACTTGAAGTATACGTATACGTACACACCCTCACCTCTACTACATCCCCTACACTTTCGTCCATAAACCCCCCCCCCTCTTCGACCCCCTCAACAAAGCATACCCC